TTTGAATATAATATTATTTTATATGAGAGTTATTTATGAAAATAGGCTTTTTCTTAAATCGTTAGTCGTTGGAAAAGGTTTTATAAATAATATAATTAGGTTAGGTTAGGTTATCCTGGCTGCCCTCATCCGCGCAGGAAAGGGCACACTTAGGCCTCCATGGGCCCATTGTGATACCATATTTGAGACTCATACGTCCCTCCTCCTACCTCAGAAATTGAACCAATTTGTAGCTCTGATAAAGCGCACAAAATCGTAGATACTGGCCGAGTCCAGTTCATCCAGACACTCGAAAGAATAGCGAAGGAGCGAGCGTCGACGGGCTCTTGCCAAGGCGGGACAGTGGCACAGGTAGTGCTCCACGCTCTCGATCTCATCCTCATCGCGGCAGCTACGACAGTAGTCGTTTGGCTGCAGACCCATCCTGGCAGCGTGGGTTCCCATAAGGCAGTGCCCGGTGAGAATTCCGATAACATGGCGGAGCATTGGTCGCTCCAAACGAAAGAGAGGGCGAGATCTACGCTTATCTAACCTAGGCCAGATGTGTCTCGCTATCCTGCACGTGGGCTCTGCGGACCATCTTACATTTGCCCGTTCGATAAAGTTATTCTGCAGCCAAAGTTTACAGGATGATAGCGGAATACCCGCATTACGAGCGGTACTGATCGCAGGCAGTAGGGTTCCTTTCCGAGCCAGCTCGTCCGCAACACAGTTGCCCGGTATGTCCTTATGACCTGGTACCCATACAACTCGAGTAAAGTGGCTCCTTGCGAGCTCATTTAGAATACGTCTACATTCCATGACAATCTTCGATTAGGATTTGTCACAATTAAGTGCTTTGATAGCTGCCTGACTATCAGAAAAAATAGTTACTGCATGCAGATTAGTAGGAGAATCGATCATCCATCTAGCAGCTTCGTAGATTGCTGTTAGTATAATATAATTAATAAGCTTCCTATTGAACGTCATTTGCCTAGTTATCAATTTTGTGAACCTGGAACGAAACTACGGAAACTTTTAGTAAGAGGAGATCGAGGGATTAATCTACTAGACACTGCTTGTAGAGAACATGATATATCATATTTATATAATAAAGATTTAGATAACCGACATATTGCTGATAAAAAATTAATTGAGAAGGCTTGGGAAAGAGTTAAACCGAAGGATAGCAATCTTAATGAGAAAACAAATGCTTGGTTAGTTACAAATATAATGAAGACAAAAACGAAATTCGGTATGGGGAACATTTATAGTAAAACTAAGAAAGTGGGAGGAAAAAATGGTTATCATCTCTTCAAACATGCTTTAAAAAGTGCTAAACAAAATTTGAAGAAAAGTGATAACTTAAAAGATGCAATAAAAATTTCCCGAAAGGTTGTAAATAATATTTTTAGAGGAAAAAAATTTATAATAAAAGCACCACGTGTAATACCATTACCTAAATCTGGAGGATGGGAGAACCATTAGCGCCTTTATTCGTAGCATTAGGAGCACTTGGAAGTCTATCTGGCGGTACAGCAGGAATTATTAAAACAATCAATGCTATAAAAACTGGAAAGGAGCAGTTATTGGAGGCGAAACGTCATAATAATACAATGGAAGCTATTTCAATGGGAAAAGGATTGTTTTTAAAGCCTTATAAAAAGGGATTCGGATTATATTTAAAACCATATCAAAAAAAACTCTTCATGAATCTACCCAGAAGACTTCTTACTGATGTAGACTTAAAGAAGTATTCAAAATTTATTCCAAATTTTAGAGGGGTATTCATGTGTGACACTTTACCCCGTAAACCATTTCAAAGAGAATGTGGAATAATAAATTTGGATAGTTCAAAGGGTGCGGGAACGCATTGGGTAGCTTACTGGAAAAACGAAAATGAGATTGATTACTTCGATAGCTTTGGAAACTTACAGCCTCCTAAGCAAATAATAAAGTATTTAGGTAAAAACATTAAATATAACTATAATAAACAGCAAAGCTATAATTCATATAATTGCGGACATTTTGTTTAAAATTCTTATTATCAAAATAAATAAGTAATTATAAAACTTTCTTTTATTTCAAATTAAATTTTATTTGTTCTCATCATCAACAAAAACAGGCCTTTCCATTCATATACACATACATATTAAATACTTAGCAATTAACTATGTGAACATTATTAACACAATTTTCGAGGGGTGGAGCATCTATATATGTATATTAAACAGCTGCACAAGCACTACATAAATCGCTTGCAAGCCATCGGCTCTCATTTTAAGCACTGTACCTCTCCTTCACTCCCATAACAAAGCAACTGCTACACTCACGAAAGGTTTTGTCATACGAACGAATGCCGCACGATAGGAAAAAGAACAACAGAACAAAGCTGAAGTAGAACCAAACTGAAGCCGAAGAAAATTGAAGTATAAAGCTGATGTCACATAAAACTTTTGCTTCGCTTTACGTGACAGATTCGCTTTGACAGATAAGATGAATTGTATGAAAATGCACAAAGCATGCCACATAAATCGTTGAAGCGGCAGCGCGAAGCGAAAAGATGGTCAACTCCCATCTTTTTGCGCGCTTTGACAATCAGCCGGTTTAATATTTATTTTGTTTCGTCCAAATTCGGGTTTTCATGCAGAAACATAAAACTTAATTACATTGCTGATAATTTTAAATCAAAATAATTAAAATCCACAGCAACTTTGATGAGTAAAAAAGCGGTACAACATTGTTTTCTTGGCGTTCATTGTGGCATACCTTTTGCGTCTGGCGCTTTGCTGGCAAAGTTATAAATGTCACGCAAAGCTACAAAGTTTTATCTGGCATCAGCTTGACAAATGCGATGCTAAAATTTTTCAAATGGAAGTGCGCGCATCACTCAGTGGAAGTAGCGGCGACAGCAAATTCTTGCTTTGCATAAGTGCATACCCAAATGTATATGTATATGGATGTATGTATGTACATACATATGGGACCGCGCACTTCCTATACTAAAGTGTTTTACAAAAACAAAAGTGCAGAAGTGTTATGGCGTGCTTACCTAAATGAAGTGTGATATGTTTCCTTTTTAGCACGCTTTTTTTTATCTTGTTTTTGGCTAAGCATCTGCGATTTTGCCTGCTCCTACATATATGTACATATATTATGTATCTACCCAGCCGACCAAATATTCGCAAACAATATCGTAAACAGATGTTTTGCGTATGTTTTGCGAACAAAACTGTTGAAAACGATAATCGCTAACCGATCTTTTTCGGAATATTTCCCCACGACGGGTCGCTCTGTTTGTGGCAGACAAAGTATCGTTCTCGAATGTATGAAAACGTATCGTTAGCGGATCACTTTCGAATTGGTTTGCCAATTGTTTATGAAATTTCTTTCGGATCTTATACAATATTGCTAACGTATTGAAAACGTATCGTTAGCGGATCACTTTCGAATTGGTTTGCCTATTGTTTATGAAATTTCTTTCGGATCTTATACAATATTGCTAACGATTGTTTTTCTTGTCCCCTTCCCATTTTGGTCCCACTTTATGAAAAAGCAAAACAAAACTATTTTTATATAAAAGTAATGTATTAAACTATTTATTATTGTTATTGAATACTTTAATTTATTATTTACATGATCTAGGACCAAATTAAAATTGAATTAATCTGTTAATCGGTTATCATAAAAATATGGTATGTACATGAAAGTGCTAAATATTCAATCACAAAAATTTTACCGTTATTATTCAGCCTTGAATTTACGTTTTCAAAGTCTTTAGAAATTGTTTGCTTGTATTTTTTATGTTATTTAAGTTTAAATTAATATTGAATCCATATAAATTTATGTATGCACATATCGTTACCTTAATATAAAAAGTAGATTATTCACTGAAAACCTAATGCAATTCAAAGAACTGCTTACGCCATTTAGCTTATTATAGGCCTCAATTAAAAACAGCATAATTTACAACCACTGCAAATAAACTTTCTATATTAAGGTAACGATATGTAGGTACATTCATATGGTTACCTTAATATAGAAATGCCCTAACTCATATAGTCGCTGAAATACAAAAAAGCCCTAACAAACTAACTTATAATTCGATGAATTGCATCACAAGCTATCAAACAGGTAATTTTGGATTTTTACTTAGTTATGCCTTTTTGTATTTCAGCGACAATGTGCGATAGGGCCTTTCTATATTAAGGTAACGATATTTATATTGATTTGCTGCAGTTTTCATTAGAATTATTGTTTTGTATTGTTTAAAATTAAATTTATGTTCTTAACGCTGTGTTTGAGCTTACATTTTTATAAAATCTTGATTTGTTTTTATTTATATTGACATTTCAATAAGCATTGCATTCAGACTTTTATTAATTTTTGAACATAAAAATATTAATATGAAAATAGTTGTGCCGCAGTTTTCATTTACATTTCAAAGTGTTTAAGATTGTTCACTTTTTTAAATAATTTAAATTTAGAAATCAAAATTATTCGGCAGTACCAGTTTTAATTTTATTTATTTTTTTACTTTTTTATGTAAAAACGTTAAATGACGCTGGTTTACAAGAACAAATTACTTCGTAAAAAAATAAAAACTGAATTGCATTTTCTTGTTTTTTTAAGAATTATTGTTAAAATATATTAAGTTAAAATTACTTCGAATTGCCAGTGTTACACGTGCGCCTCGGATGCATTTTTTAGTTGCAGTACCGCGCCAAGAAAATTGTTGCGCCACCTCATCAGTGAAAATTCGTCTCCACGAAGTTCGAATGAATTTATCGTATGATTTTTCACATGACATATCTAGTTCTTGTTTCTAAAATTAATATAAATGTTTTTATTAATTGATTTGGTAACAAAGTGAGGATCATAAAATTTACTTACGAATTTCTTAAATACTATTTCATCTTCCAATGAACTTTCCAACTTTATAAAATCTTCTACAAAGTTTATAGGTTTCTCTAAAATTTCTATAGCGTTTTCTTGATATCTGCCATATACTTTAGTTTTTATTGCGGACACTTCGCTTCTAATAGAAATGACTTCCATAGTTAGACGATCAATTTTCGTGGAGCAATCCGTCAGAATGCTTTTAATTTCTGAAAGTCGAATAAAATTTGATGTCTTACAAAAATATGTATCAGTATATGTATCTTCTAAAAGTAAATACTTGCCTTGCAGTAGCGTTTCGCTGCTGAAAACCCTCGGATCGTCAAATAAAATTTCAAATTGGTCTGACATTTCTTAAAAGGTGCCTTTAAAAGTGGACTAAAGGAAAAAAATATGAATACCCCCCTCTATTAAATGAAATATTTTTCCGGAAATAATTTCAATTCGGTGCTGGCTAATTTCAGGTTCTAATGACAAGGATTTTGAGCTAAATATGCCCACCATGGTTGAATTTATGGGGTATGTGAAAAACGGCTGGAGATCACGAATTAATCTGCTATGCAAAAGAAAACTAGAGCCGTAACTTTCGATTCGCACTAATTTGTATATCTTGTACTGACATTCCTTAACATAGTAAAAGGAATTACAACCGGTTGGATTAAAGAAAAAGTTATTGTGATATATTTTTTGACCGGGCACATTGTTATTAAATTTGTCTACTTTATGAAAAACATTCAATAAGCTTTTCTCAACAATTCTATTGTATAGCTGTTCTATTACGAAGTCGCTTTTTTTAACCATAACTTTCAACTGCCCTAGAAAGTTTTCAAAAGGAAAGGCGCTAATGGTTTCTAAAGAATTAAATTTCAACGCCTGTCTACTTAAATGGGTTAAGCAATGGAAATTAAAAGATAACATTGTAAATGAATAGAGTGTAGGTATTTCTTCAACAAATTTATTTAGCAAAGCATCGGCAAGCCCATTTTTGGTTTTGCAATATTCCTCATGAAGGAGAAGTCTTATTCCCAAGCTGAGAACCAAGAAATGATTATATCTTGCAGTATCTAAAACGCCTTTCATAACTACTGGTCCAGTGTATAGTAAAAATGTACGAAGCTCTGTAGCTTTGAATCTTTCTAAATCATCAAGTGGTCTTGGTTTTCGGCTGATTTCTTTTGGAAAAAATATTTTTAATGAACAAAATTTTGCACTTATAAGGCTTATAGAGTCACGCCTTAAAGAAAAAGGTTGCCCTCTTACTCTCGTCCAAGCCACTAATATAGTTTTCACAACCCCTAAGCAAACAACGTGCATGTAATCGAAAGGAAATTGTTCTACCATATCGATTTGAAGTTTTTCTAAAGCAAGTTCCTCGGTTATATTGTGGTGATCTGGGTACAAGCGGTTTCTAAAACTTTCATTACATCTAGACACATTATGCTCTTTTTTGAAGATAATTCGTCGTTCAAATCTTTCTCCCTTCTGAACACATTTATTGCAGCAATAATATCCAGAATGATGTTTAACTCCTAAAATAAATGCCCGTGCTGGTGCATCATTTATAAATGCTCTTATTCCGATATTAAAGTGTTTATTCCTACAAATCATTCCATCTCTAACTAATGTTTGTAGCTCGTCAACGAATTCTTTTAAATAAATGTTTGGGTCTTTTGGTTTGGAATTGCCTACATAAATACCTACAACCATCACGGGTTTTGTACCATTCACGTTTATTAATATTGGCCAAGCTTGTTTAAGCGAGCTTTTGAACAAAGGCAACCCATCAACGTTTACATTAAGAAAAATATTTGGAGAATGGAAATCAGAGTTAATTAAAAAATCTGTAAGAGCATCCCTAACGCCATAGTGAACGTATTCCCCTGGGTCTACTTTTCGTTTCACTATACTGCGTGGTGTACTTTTCAAAGTACGAACGTCCTTGGGTAAGTCGGGAATCTTTTCAGATAGCAAAACTAGCAATGCATTTCCCGCCTGTTTACTAATGTTATTAGCAGACACCCATTTTGCTAATCTTATTGTGAAAGGCTCCCCTTCAACTTGACTGCTTGTTGTGGTTGAAATATCGATGTCACCAATTGCAGTACATGGAGGCACTAAGTCGGTGCAGTTTGGTTGGATGTCGATCGGGATTAAGCATCCGCTGTCGCCAATAACCGCAACGTCTAGGCTGTTCTCCAAGCCTTCTGGTACTTCAGGCAAAGCTTTCCTTTTGGTAGCTATTGCGGCTGCTACATGGCTAGCCTCGCGTATAAAATTGCGACACTTTCTGTTTGGCATTATACACACGCGTAAACTACAATCAAATGCAAATTTTATGAAACAAACTTTATTTTGGTTATTTAATCACCTTAACTGCTAGAAANTACATGGAGGCACTAAGTCGGTGCAGTTTGGTTGGATGTCGATCGGGATTAAGCATCCGCTGTCGCCAATAACCGCAACGTCTAGGCTGTTCTCCAAGCCTTCTGGTACTTCAGGCAAAGCTTTCCTTTTGGTAGCTATTGCGGCTGCTACATGGCTAGCCTCGCGTATAAAATTGCGACACTTTCTGTTTGGCATTATACACACGCGTAAACTACAATCAAATGCAAATTTTATGAAACAAACTTTATTTTGGTTATTTAATCACCTTAAATGCTAGAATTAATAATATTTCACTTTATTTTATGTTCACTGCTCGAGCAACGCTTGTCAAAACAAAAATGTGCTGCCACTCCGAAAATTTATCGAGTTAGCGAACAATTTGCTTAAGAGTTTCTTTCGCAAATTGTTCGCTGAAGCGAACCTTCGTTCTTGTATCGAGTTAGCGAACAATTAGCGGAAGAGTTTCTTTCGCAAATTATTCGCTAAAGCGAACCTTCGTTCTTGTGTCGAGTTAGCGAACAATTAGCGGAAGACTTTCTTTCGCAAATTGTTCGCTAAAGCGAACCTTCGTTCTTGTGCCGAGTTAGCGAACAATTTGCGGAAGAGTTTCTTTCGCAAATTATTCGCCAAAGCGAACCTTCGTTCTTGTGTCGGCTGGGTATGTATGTATTTACAAAAAAAAAAACACACAGTTTCAAAATATGCATTTTTATTAATTACGGTCTTGACGTTGACTGCGAACTGCGTGGCTTGCGCTAACAATTGGTAATGAGTTGCTATACATACATGCAAATGTTCTAGTGCACTCGGTTGTCTTGCTATGATTTGCCGCTATTTTACTTCAACCCTTCTTTTTATACCCGAGCGCACTTGTGCACAAGGGTATTATAACTTTGTTCACATAACGGTTGTTTGTAACAGGCAAAACGAATGGAGATAGATATAGACAAATGTATACATAAATGATCAGAATGAAAAGAGAAATCGATTAAGCGGTGACTGTCTGTCCGTCCGTCCGTCCGTCTGTGCACACGATAACTCGAGTAAAAATTGAGATATCTTAACGAAACTTGGTACGTGAACTTCTTTTGGGCGTGGGACGGATGGTATTGAAAATG